CCTCCCTGGCCTCCCTCCTGCCCTCCCTGCCTCCCCTCCCTCCCCTCCCCTGCGTGTCCCCTCCCCTGCCTTCCCATCCCCTCCCCTGCTATGCCCCCTTCCTATTCCCCCCTCCCCTGTCATGCCCTCCCCTGCCTTCCCCTCCCCTCCCCTGCTATGCCCCTTCCTCTGCCTTCCAACTCCCCTCCGCCGCTTCCCCTCCCCTGCCATGCCCCCCTCCTTCCTTGTCAAATTTCAAAACACTATTTAGAAAATATAATTTAGAAGTCATTTTGGACACTAGGATGCATGGAAGGGGCGGTTATGACTTGTTATTAGTTTTACAATGTAGAAGCTCAGAGAAGAGTCACTTTTAAAGATGCTACAAGATCTTGTGTGTCCCAGGAAATTGGAGAATAATTTAGGATCCTACAGCCTTTGAGAAAGGTTTGCTGAGTAGATGCATCCCCCCCCCTTAAGAAATAAATCAATGCTCTGATAATGTAGAGGTGAACGCCCCAGCCCCACTTCCCAGTGCCATTTGAGAAGCTGTGTGGGAGTTTCCTGTATCACACAGCAGGTGCCAAGTTAACGGTCCCATCCTCTCCCACTATTCTCCAGGGAGAATAGTTCCCCATGCATTTCATCTAGAGCAAAGAGTTATGCTGAGGAGTTCGTGTTTTGTTCTTTGACTAGATGTCCTTTAGGTAGTCTTTTTTTAAAAAATCTCCCCTTCAGTAAGTTTTTTGTGTATGAAAAATTACAGAATTCCTCCCACCTTTAACTAATGTTTGAATAGTAATTTCACTCCTTAGAAACCTTTCACTGGCGATTTGCGTGTAACTTTTAACTGTTAGACTGCTTAGCTGCTGTTAGACTGGGCCACTCCATGTCCCGCATAGCACGCTGCTGCTGGCAGGAGCTCTGGTAACCGTTTGGTCATAGTTTGGAGGGTTTTTACCAGACTTGGTCGCACTGTATTTGCCCATTTGTTGAGGGTATAACATTCATAAAGCTGCCAGTGGCTTTCTGAGGTTGGCCATCCACTGGACTTCACTTTTTCCTATGTAAAAGGAGATGAGACTAAATTGTTCTTCGTTGGTAGTTTCATGGTAGTACTCCATCACAGTACAGATTTTTCTAATATGACAGCTCTGAAAATGGAGAAGGGGAAACTAATTGTGAAGGTCAGTGCTGTGACTTGATACATCCCATTTCCTCACCAGGCAGAGGAAGTGGGTGAACTGACCCAGGGTACCCATGTGTAAGCTCAGATTCTGGATCATTCTGGTGTCATGGTTGAAGACAAGGTATGCTAAGAGATTACTGAACCCCAGGATTAGCAGCCTAAGGTGTTGTTTTCTATTTGTTTATTTTTAATATGGCCTAGGCTGGCCTTAAATTGGCTGTCCACCTGCTTCAGCTTCCTGAGTGCCGGGATTACATGTGTGTGCCACTACACATGACCTTGAGCATACTCTTGACTCAAGATTTGAAGAAGGGTTCAATTTGTATTTTGTGGAAGATAGATAAACAGGTTTTTAAAAAGTTATTTAAATTGTGCTGTTTTGTATATGGGAAACAATGTACATGTTCACATTTAAGTACTCAAAATGTCTCATGAGATACACGAGTCACATGATCTCTGAGGTAAAATGAAAAGGCAAAAGTGTTTCCTCTTCTACCTTTTCAGGTAGGGCACTTAAAGTGATAATTTCACTTCCCTCTGCTTTGCAGAATCAATTGAAATGCAAGCCATGTGCTAGCTAGTTCATTCATTTAAAGTGTATGGCTTAATGGAGTGAGTAGATGTCACCATAATCCATCACTCCCTCAAACCTTTGCACCCCTTAATCCCCCCAATGCTCAGCCCTGAGCGGCTGCTGATACATCATCTCCATAGACTTTTCTTATTGTAAGCATCTCATCTAAATTCAGTCACAATAGGCTGTCTGCTTGACTGCCTCTCAGCAGTGTTTCAAGGGTTATCCCAGTCATAGCATATACTAGTGCTTTCTTTATTCCTTGTTGCCAGATATCTCATTATGTGTATATAATGTATTTCAGTCCATTTATTAGTGGATACTTGAGTTTCTGCTTAAAGTAAAATCACTCAAAAAATAAAACCATAAAAGACAAAATCTGGAGGGACAAATACTTGAGGTAAAGGGAAAACAGCAATACAATAGATTTAAACACAGCAGCAATCACATTGAAGACGAATAATTGAACACTGAAATGTAAGAAATGACATTAGATTTTCAAAACCAAGAGCAAACTATAGTTTGCCTACTAGAAACACACTTTAAAATAGTGTTAAGCTAAAACAAAAGAGTGAATATTGCTAATCAAAAGAAAGACTAGCTAAACTAACCTCACACAAAACACATTTAAATTCAAGTATAACTTCACTAAGGAAAGCTGTTTTTACCTCTTGATTCTTACACTGGTGTTACCCGGAACTTCTGTGTGGAAGGTTTTGTACAGGTGTTTGTGCAGACACCAGATTATAGGATCACCAGTAATGTAGGGAAACACTATTTAGCCTGATGAAGAACTGCCTGAGTTTTTTTCAAATAGGCTGCGCTGTTTTACATTCCCACCAGAGTTCATAGAAGTTCTAGTAGCTCTCCAGCAGCTGTTGCCTGTCATTTTCATATAGTCATCACAGTCTGTGCAGTGTAGTCTTTCATTGTTATTATATTATGATGTCGAGTATCTTTTTGCATATTTATTTGCCATCTGTATCTTCCTTAGAGAAATATCATGTTCAATCCAGTGCTCTAGTTAGATTATTTGAGTTTCTATTATTGACTTATGTTATCTTAGATTATCTTTAGAAACAAGACCTAAAAGATGCATGATCTGCAGAGGTTTTTTCCCTCCAGTTCTGTGGATTGTCTTGTCACTTGAAGCATAAAGCTTTTTTAATTTTGAAGGAGTTGTTTCTCTCTCTCTCTCTCTTTTCTTACCTATGGCTTTAGCATGCTATCATTCAGGAACTTTTCCGCTTAGTTCTTATGCTGGGTCTGTGACTAACATTGAATTAATCTTTTGAGTATGGTGGGTGACAGGGCTGGGGATTCGTTCTTCAGTCTGTGAACCTTCATTTATTATGTACCATTTGTTGAATTGCATTGGTGCCCTTAACTCTTAGAGGTAACTGTTGAAAAAACCACCGTACTCGGACCTGCTTTTCTTTCATGTAAGTCCTAAAATTGCCGGAATGTAAAGCAGGCTTGCTTGCACCAATTTAGTGGAAGTTCAAATTTGGCCTAAGAGAGGGTTGGGTTTTACAGAAACGTGAATGAAAAGGGAGGTGCCACCGCATTCTTGTTGGCTGAATGAAATACAGCTTCACTCCACAGATGAGCTGTGTGCTTGCATTTTAGGCCCCTTGCCTGCTGGCGTCACGTGGTCATTATGAAGGTGCTGGTGATGCTCCTCCTCTCTGCAGTAGCACCTGGGTGCAGAGCGAACTTCTCCTACAGCCAGCCACCCAAGCTGCTCCTGGTCTCCTTCGATGGCTTCCGGGCCGACTACCTGCAGGACTACGAATTCCCTCACCTCCAGAGTTTTATCAAGGATGGCGTCCTGGTAGAACATGTGAAAAACGTCTTTATCACAAAAACATTCCCAAACCACTACAGCATTGTAACGGGCTTGTACGAGGAAAGCCACGGCATTGTGGCCAACTCCATGTACGACCGGGTCACGAAGAAACATTTTTCTGATGCTGATGATAAGGATCCTTTCTGGTGGAACGAGGCAGTCCCTATTTGGGTGACCAATGAGCTGCAGGAAAACAGATCGAGCGCTGCAGCCATGTGGCCAGGGACTGACATTCTCATTCATAACACCACGCCTTCCTACTTTATGAACTATAACCCCTCGGTGTCATTTGAGGAGAGACTAAATAATATCACCACCTGGCTCAGCTATTCCAACCCACCAGTCACCTTTGCAACTCTCTATTGGGAAGAACCAGATGCAAGTGGCCACAAGTATGGCCCTGAAGACAGAGACAACATGCGCAGGGTTCTGAATGAAATAGATGGCCTTATTGGCAGTCTAGTTCAAAAGCTGAAGCTGGTAGGACTCTGGGAAAATATTAATGTGATCATTACAAGCGATCACGGGATGAGCCAGTGTTCGGAGAAGAGACTGATAAACCTGGATCACTGCCTCGACCCCTCAAGCTACAGTCTCATAGATTTGAGCCCAGTGGCTGCAATTCTTCCAAAAATAAGTAGGTAGACATTGCCAAGGCATTCTGTCATTCAGATGAGGCAACCAATTGAAGAGGGAGGAGTGTACAGAAGAATGGAGCTCTCGCTTTTGCAGTTCAGGGCCTTGCTCTTACTCAGAGTACAGGTGACACGTTCACGTAGGTAGTATGAGTTGAAGTGATTGTTTCTGTGTGCTTTCACATGTTTCTTAAAACATGAGTGAAAAAAGAAAAGGGAAATTTTAATGCTTAGAAATAACTTGGAGCCTCCTAAGATAGATGTTTCTTCTACTGATCATGGAATTGGTTCACAGCAAGAAATACATAATAAATGTTTACATAGGACATGTCCTCTTTCAGGATTGTCCACAGAATGCAAGGGAGGTTGTGTGTGTGTGAATGTGTGTGTGTGTGTGTGATTCACTCTCATATACTGTTTAAGATGTAGCGGGGACTTCATAGGTAATACTATCTGAAAATTTATTGCCAATGACTCTAGTTAGGCATATTTTTTTCCTAATCAGTAAATGATGGTGTGTGTTTTTCTTTGCTATTTCCCTTTTATAGATAAAACAGAAGTATATGACAGACTGAAAAACTGTAGTCCTCACATGAATGTTTATCTCAAAGAAGACATTCCCAACAGATTTTATTACCAACATAATGATCGAATCCAGCCTATCATCGTGGTTGCTGATGAGGGCTGGAGAATTGTGCTAAACAAATCATCATCAAAGTGTAAGTATTGGGGATAGATCACACATCACGCGTTGTGCTTGGTCTGGTATGAGCGTGGGTACGCTTGTTTTCATAGCCTGTTTCCAACTAGATAATTCTCAACGTTTTCATTTAATAATAATTTACAGCCCCACTCCTTACATTAGGGAGTTAACTTTAAGGGTGAAGCTATAGTTTTACTTTCTTACCCAAACTGCAGTTAATTTGAGTAACCATGAAAAGTTGAGTAACCTTGAGTCTTTTTGCAATATTGAAAACATTTCCTTGACTGCTGTATTTCAGAAAGTGTTCTAAAGAATCTATCAAATTAAAAAAAAGTATACCAAAATCTCTCCTAAAATAGATGGTGTAGGGAATTGCATTGGTAGAATCTTATTTATACATATTTTCCATTAATTTTAACTTAAAAAAATCAGACTTTGTAGTCCACAGCAGGAGTCAGAAAACATTTTCTGACTAGAAAGGGCCAGAGAGTATTTTAGGCTTTGTGGGCCAGCTGGCCGATTTGAGTTCAACTGGGCTTTTCTATAAAGTATGAAAGCAGCAATAGTGAAGACTCAAGTGAAACAGGTGCAGGGCCTGCCTATCTTTTTGTTACATAAACAATGCAAATTGTCATTTTGGAGCCAGTAGTAGGATTTGAACTTAGGGCTTGAGCACTATCCTTTAGTGGCAGGCTGGTACTCTACCCCTTGAGCCACAGCTCCACTTCCAGTATGCAAATTTTAATATGACTGGAATCATATCTGTATTCTTGCTATGTTGAATCCAATTGTTATTTTAATTATAAAGTATTTCAAGCATTATTAAAGAGGCTTATCTTAAACATAAATACTTACTGTGAAAGTGGGAATTTATTAAATGCAATGATTAAATGTAATGATAAGAAAACAGGCTGGGAAGGTGGCTCAGTGGTAGAGCGCTTGCCTTGCATGCATGAGGCCCTGGGTTCGATTCTTCAGCACCACATAAGCAGAAAAAGCCAGAAGTGGTACTGTGGCTCAAGTGGTAGAGTGCTTGCGTTGAGATGAATTGCTGAGGGACAATGCTCAGGCCCAGAGTTTGAGCCCCACGTCTGACAAACAAAAAAATATGAAAACAAAGCTAAAAACTTTGAGAAATGGAATACTGTCCTGGCATTCTGAGTTGGACTCATCTGGTTAGACTTCATGTTCAGTCCAAGAACACCTTCTGTAGGCATCGCCCCCTGCTGTGGACATGCGCCCTTGGGGCAGTCCCCCACCCTTGTCATCTCAGGTGCTGAGGGAGGGCGTCTGCAGCACGTCCTCCCCAGGGCCTCCCTGGCCTCCCTCCTGCCCTCCCTGCCTCCTGGAAGGGCCCTTCCACCCCACCACTCTTGTTTTCCTTCTTTTAAAGTCACGGGTGCTGTTTGTAGTGAGTGTTTGTACCCAGTGCTGGAGATGGACAGTGAAGTGAGAAGGGACAGCCTGGGAAGATAAGTACATCAGGGTGAGGGAGAGAGGAGAGGACAGGACAGGGTCAGACCCCTGGGACAGGAACGAGCTCAAGGAAAGAAGGAGAGACGTTATTTCTGCTTTGTATTTATTCTTAATAGTGAGAATTCACCCAGCAAGAAGCCAGCGTATGTATTACTAGAAGTAAATCGTTTTGTAATGTTAAAAAAATGGGTGGGAGGCTGATAATGATGCTAGGTGTTCATGGGCCTCGTTTTGCTGTTTGGTTTTTCAGTAGGAGACCACGGTTACGACAATTCCCTGCCCAGCATGCACCCATTCCTGGCTGCCCACGGGCCTGCCTTCCACCGAGGCTACAAGCACGGCACCATCGACATGGTGGACATCTACCCCATGATGTGCCACATCCTGGGGCTGCCGCCGCGGCCCCACAACGGGACCTTTGGCCGGACCAAGTGTCTGCTGGCCGACCAGTGGTGCATCAACCTCCCGGAGGCCATTGGGATCGTGGTGGGTGCCCTCCTGGTGCTGACCACGCTGACCTGCCTCATCGTGGTCATGCAGAACAGGCTGTCAGCGCCACACTCCTTCTCCCGGCTCCAGCTGCAGGAAGACGACGATGACCCGCTGATTGGGTAAGGGGTGGGCCTCCCTGTCTTTGACCAACCTCAAAACCACCAGTGCGTTCAAGGAGAGACAGCCCGCGCCTCGCACACTCGCATGACTTGGTTTTTCCTTGTGCTCGTACAAATAACCCTGCCCCTGGTAAAACCGCAAGTGGGTCAGTTCACTCTTCACATAGAAAGAACTTTCGGTGAAAACAAGTGTTTTAAAAACTCCATCTGCTTCCCCTCCACCTTTTTTTAAAGCAAGGAAGATGATACATCTCTAGATGAAAATAGGCACAAATTTAATAGGCATGGTTTTTCTAATAAATTTATACATTTGTAAATGAAACAATAGAAATCTTTATGTAATTCCTGGATTTTGTGTATCAGAGTTTCCTGTATTTTTATATTTACCTTTAATTAGTTTGTATCCAAAGTGAACTCTTGAGGTAGAAAGTTCTGTTGGGGCTGATAAAATTGATTAGCCGGTTAGGAAAAAACAAATCTAACATAAAAAAAAAAAACATTTTAGGTAAAGATACTAAAGGTCAAACCCATCTAAGACCATTCTGTACGAAATATGAATTATCACCCTTGTGTCTTTGTTAAGAACCTTAAGTGACCAAAATCAAAAAAGTTCAGTCTTTCAGGACATAAATGTGTGGCGGCATGCACCTGTAACCCTGGCACTGAAGCCCCCCTGGCAAGGCAGAGGGTTATAAAACCTGAACAACGTGGTGAGACCCTGTCACTTCTTTTGATGATTACTAATGAGGAATTTTTTTTTTTTTTTGGCCACCGCGGGGCTTGAACTCTGGCCCTGGGCGCTGTCCCCCAGCTCTTCAGCTCAAGGCGAGGGCTCTACCACTTGAGCTGCAGCACCACTTCCAGTTTTCTGAGTGGTTAATTGGAGATAAGAGTCTCACAGACTTTCCTGCCCGGGCTGGCTTTGACCCATGATCCTCAGATCTCAGCTCCTGAGTAGCTAGGATGACAGGCCTGAGCCACCAGCACCTGGCCAGAAATTCATTTCTTTCTACTTGTGTTTTAATATTTCAGTGCATGTTACTGTGTGCGTGCCTGCATGTCTGTGCACATGAGTGTGTGTGCATACACACATATGTGTGCAGATTCTTATGTTCATTATAGACCTTCCTCTCAGGAAATGTTATTTTTTGCACTTCATTTTATTTACGTTAACTCACAAGTGTTCAAATGATAATTTTTCTACCACTTTTAACTTTCTCATGTTTGTTACAGTCTGAAGTATTCAAGTGCTATAGAAACATCTTTTTTGTTCAAGGCTAGAACTCTACCACTTCAGCCACAGTTCCACTTCTGGCTTTTAGGTGGTTAACTGGAAATAAGAGTCTCATGGACTTTCCTGCCTGGGCTGGCTTTGAATTGGTTGGGGACAGAGACTTGAAATGGGTACCTGATGCTTTTGCTCATTGGCTAGCTCTCTACCAACTAAGCCACCTCCAATCCCTAGAACAACTTCTGACCTGAGCACCATTTAATTTTGACTTGGTCTGAATGATGCAAAGGGATGTTTCTCTTTCACCTTGGGACTTCATACCTTCTTTTAGACAGCAGAGAGAGGTGAAGAAATTTAAAATAGAATTGGCATTTTCTGATATTTGCACCATGCACACATCAGGTGACAGAAAAGCCTTTGTGTTACCACTGCTTTATGCTTCCAACATTTGGATCACTGAAATACTTTCTCTGCTTTCATCTTTTGACATGCTTGTTCCCAGCCAAGTGTATTGTGGACTGTCATGCTAACCCTGCTAGGCAGTAGCTCCCAGTCATCAAGATTAACAGGAAGACACTGTTGTGGTAGCCTAGCTTATGTGCCTGAGGCCAAGAACTGAAGCACACAGTTGATATTAATAGTGTGGCTTTTACATGTTTGACAGTCAAAGTTCCTAATTGCTTTTCATATAAAAAAACTAATCTACAGTAGGTGTACAGCCCACTTACAGGTTGACTATCTGGGATGATAATAATACCACCATTGCCAGTTATCAAACATACACTATGTCCTATCAGGTCATTGCCAGTCTCCCAAGCCTGTTGTTTGGTGCTCGTTATAGTTAGGGTTTTAAGGCATTTCTAGCTCCTGCTAATTAGCCCCTGCTATTGGTCTGAAACTGAAGAACAGAACAGAACTCATTATGCTTTCTGATAGCTTTATGCTGATCCTAGCTTGAATTCAGGGCCTGGGCACTGTGCCTGAGCTTTTTTTTTTTTTTTTTTTTTTTGCTCAAGCTAGCAAGCTAGCACTCTACCAATTGAGCCATGGTTCTACTTCTGGCTTTTAGGTGGTTAATTGGAGGTAAGAGTCTCATGGACTTTCCTGCCTGGGCTGGCTTTGAACTGTGATCTCTGGAACTCAGCCTCCTAAGTAATTAGGATTACAGGTATGAGCCAATATCACCCTGCTGCATTTTGATAATTAAACAAAAATTTTCCCCTCACCTTCATGCATATATACCACATGTTCTGCATTTATCTGTGGCATGGTGCTCTGGCCAATTCTGTACCTAGGCTACTGTGATCAGTTTTGCAGTAGACATGAATGTGTAAGTACATGCCCTGGAGTGGCATGTCTATCTGCTGAGCCTGCTCATAATCTTACCCCTAAATGCAAGGCCCTGTACTAGTTAATGTTACAATTATATAAGTCACTGTTCCCAAACCTGCCCCATTACAGTTAGCTGACTGACATTATCTTGCACGGATACTTCAGATGGCCTAAAACTTACTACTGCAAGAGATGTTTTAAGTGTGTGACTTAGAAGTTATAGAACATGGGTTTTACAAATGTAAAAAAAAATCACATAAAAATAGCTAAAGGTCAATGAAAGTTCCTTTCTACTTTAATTTCTATTTTAAGAATATCAGGAAGGACTGCTACTTTTTTTTTTTTTTTTGGTCCGGTCGTGGGGCTTGAACTCTGGGCCTGGGCGCTGTCCCTCAGCTCTTCAGCTCAAGGCTAGCGCTCTACCACCTGAGCCACAGCACCACTTCTGGTTTTTTCTTTTTGCTTATGTGGTGCTGAGGAATCGAACCCAGGGCTTCATGCATGCAAGGCAAGCGCTCTACCACTGAGCCACCTTCCCAGCCCTTTCTTATGGTTCTTTTACATTCACCCTCCATTTCTTAAGATTTCAAAATGTTATACAAATGAAATTTTACAGTATGTAACTTTTTGACCTTGTTTATTTTCCATTCAGCATTATTTCCTGAGGTTCATACAAATTAATATGCATATGAAGCGGTTCTCCTTTTGTTGCTGACTACTTTTTCAAGGTGTATTTATAACCCATGGCTGTTACTTCCAGTATCTAGTTATTACACACAGAGCCACGATGAACATGGTTTTGTGAACCTAAGTTACGTTATCAGAAAACAACAAACCAGCCAACCACGGTTTTTATCTCATTTGATTTTTAATGTCATTAATAGTGATTTCGTTTTCAAAGCAGCAAATAATTACAGACAACACACTGCAGAGATGGTGCCTGCTCTCTGCTTTTCAGGCCACTGCTGTAACTACATAGGAGAGAAGCCTAGGTTCATAATGTTTCATTTAAAAATCAGTCATGTGACTAACCAGCAAACAGCAATAATTAGATTTATGACAGAAACAGTATGCTTAGAATGGATCTGTCAGAATTTGAACCTCCTTGAGGGGGAAAAAAATGGAAGCCTATGTCCTTTGTCCTTTGGAAAGAAACAGTGAGAAATGCCCACAGATGCAGCCTGCTGCTGGCAACGTATCTCTCCAAAACATCAACATACCAAGAGTGTCACACTGTATCTGGGACCACTTTTCAACTTCCTTGTTCTTCCCCAGTTTGTGAAGATAGATGTCTACATTATTCAGAAATTAAATTTTTTTTCTTTCAATTGTATGTATGAAATACAAGTTTTCTGTGACAGAGGTGAAGGAGGTGGTCATTTTCAACCAAGTTATAAGATAACTTGTCTGGTAAAGTGCTTTTCAAAGAGAAGTACCCACTAGAAGAATAAAGTGCAATGTGTTAAGTAATTTAAATAGTGCAAAGTTGCTATTTATATACAGTATACGTGCCAAGTCCACCCGGCTAAGCTAGAGAGAACAATGGGAAAGTACGGGCGTGCAGGTGGGAGTGTTTTGGTCTATCCCTGTGTACGTGTGACTGCCTAAGTGTGGATTCTCTGCTTGATGGCCTCAGCCGATGTCTGAAACTGCTCTCCTGGAATTTGAAAACATCGACACCTTTATGCAATCTCCACTTGAATAATCAATATGCAATTCCATTTCAAAAAGGGGGGGGAAGCATTAAGCTTGTAATAATGGCTGAGCGATTTCAGCCTGCCTATCCTGCAAGGCAGGTACTTGACTGGGAATGAAATGTTTAATGAAAATCACAAAAAACACAATCACTATCATGATGCCAAGAGAGACCCCTATGAAATAAGGGTATGACTCCTCTTGCTCATATGCTCCCGGTTTGTCAGTACCAAGGAGGAGTGTGGTGGTCTGTGTGTAAGGAATGGCTTTGGGAGCTGCGGACCTGAGCAGATCCTGGACATTCCTGAATGATCCATTGTGTGGCATAGCGGTGATATTGAGGAGGTGGCACAGCAGTGGGTACAGATCTGTGGAGTTCATGGCTTCTTTTGTGAAATTCTTTCTGAAGGCAGGACCGTGGGCTAAAAATATTGGATGCATTTCTGCTAATGCATTATCGTAACCATGGTTGCCTACTGTGAAGAGAAAACGCATGAACAAGTTAGCCAATTGGATGGCGTGAGAAGGGCAATAACCTGTTGAATGGTTAGGCTCTGAACTGTACAACACCGATCTTATCTAATTTGACTTAAAGACGGAATAATCTTCAACATCCTCTGCTGTTGTCAACCCCACAATTCACTTCAACAAGTGGAAGGTCAAATTGTCGCAAATCTTTGTTATAGGCCAACGCTACCTTAACCAAGAGAGCAGAGGAAGATACAGGGCAAAGCCAGGCCACGACAGGCATAAAAGAGAGTGAACTGTTTTTGTTTGGTGGCCAGCTGGCCAACTGAGGGGCAGCAAGTGCTATTTGGTACACATTGTGTCTGAGTATTGTTCTAGAGATAAAGGTGCTTCCTTTTTAATCATGAAACCAAAGCTGTAATGACTAATCAAAGGGCAAAACAGCACATAGAGAAAAACAAAAAACATCACCAAAAATCAAACCTTCAGTTGGAGCTCCAGTCCACTACTAAAAACCAAAGGTCAGGACTTGTGGATGGTTGAAAAACTTTGAGTTTGGAGGCTCAGATCAGATTCCAGCTTAGCATCCTGTGTTTTAGTGCCTTCTGACATGTGTATCAAGGGACACACAACTAAAGGGTGAAAGCTGCATGACGTAAGCATGAATGCTCAGCATAGCGTCAGGAGGTGAGAGAAGGAAGCTATGAGTGCTAAGATGGTGACCTTAGAAAACTGGCAGGCTGCATTGCATGTCTGACTTGCGAATTCCACTCTAAAAACCTAACTCTGCCACAAGGAAATAGGCTGCAAGAACTCAAACACAGAAAACGACCACAGCCTACAGCAGTTTCTCTGAAAGTCATGAACTGGGGTGTCACCTCTGAGTAACTTGAAGCCTATCTAGCTGATCATCTTACAAAGTCATTTTAAATGCCACGGTTCAAGTCCACATAATGCTGAACTTACATATAGTACTAATTATCTTCCAGAGTACTATGCTGATCTAGCCAATTAATTGATCATCATGTGAAGAAAGACGCTGTTAAGGAATTCATAACTGAGTGAAAGGCTGCTGAGCTCATTCTATGAGAGTGGGGATCGATACTTTCAGTCATGAAGGCAAAGATAATTCTTTCATGAAACACATTATATTATTAGAAGATGAGATTGAAAATGAAATGATAACGACTCATTTAAGATCTTTCCCACAAACAGGGATTTTGTTTTGGAGTGGTGGCCTCTGCCACTTTGATTCTGTAGACAGTATTTAATCATGAAGCCTGGAGGCCAAGGCTTGCACACTGAAGTGTGTAAGACTACAGGGGGAGGGGGAGGGGAGAGATGGCCCTGTGAAGACTGCTAAGCCCCACCCTTTCCATTCAAAAGGACTGGTCTGGGCCCAAGAATTCATCTCCTCTCATATTCCTCTGTGAGTGAGAAATTGCTTGGTCAGGGGGCATACTTTGAGAACCTCTGTTATTGGAGTTTAGGGCTTAATTAATGGGTGGATAGATCACTGGCTGAGGACTCCAGCAGACAATCTTTAATTATTTGCTGAATCGATGAGCCTAAGGTGCTGCAGCAACAGGAACACTGCTGTGGTTTTCTGTGTCACAGATAAAGACGAGCAACCTATTGCATAATTATGGTTCACAAAAACCATAATTCCTACAGAGCCTCCTTAAATTTACACTTGTAAATCTCCTCAAAGATGGTATCTTCCTGCCAGCAGTACCTCTAACATATGAGCTACCTGTATAGTACAGGAACAAGAACACAGAGAGGCGGCAATTATTCCCATTTATGAAAGGCTTTCTGAAAACACGTTCCCTGATGGGATTAAATACTTGTTTACAGATCACCATCTGTTGGTACAAACTTATAGTCGCAAGAGACCATGTACCTATACATATATGCTATTATGAGTCACAAATATACCACAGATGTCATTGCCATGCAATTACTTTTCTTTAAGTCAATAAACATGATCAGTTGGGAGCCCAAGGCTACCTAAAGGGACATTTTTGTACATCAATCTTTTAATTATTACTTTGCAGTGCTGGGAATCAGACCCAGGACCTGTCTGTCTCATGCTAGGCTAGGGCTCCACTACTGAGCTACATCCTCAGCCCTGTACAATTCTTATCTATCATCTACCTATCTATCAAGGATCAAGAAGCGTATCTAAAAAAAAACACTTGTCGGTAGTTAAGTGTTGATACAATGTAGTTCCTTCAACATTTAAGTAACAGAAACCATCAGTAAGTAAACTGCTGTATGATCCACAGCCGCCATGTTAGCAAAAAGCGATGCAGAATGGGAAGAAATACTATGACATACTCACACAGAAAGTCATCTGACTTATTCTGTAAAATATACCACCCTTCGTCAGCCACTGCTATGATGGGCTGGATGCGCTCGTTGCGTGTGTAGTGCCACCTCTTGGGAATCTCCTCTTTTTTGTAAACTGTAAGGTTAGGATGAGCATCAGCTAGCGCTTCATAGACTTCGTCGAATTTACCTAAAGACAAGAGAGGAGAGAGAGAGAAGCACTGAGCGCAAAGCTCTTCATAGCTAAGGACAACCGACAGCATTTTCCTTGCTGAGAAAGAAATGCCAGCAAAAGCTGAGCAGGAGATGTAGCCAGCTTCCAAAAACTCCGCCCCCTCGGAGAAAAGAATCTTGAGCCTTAAATAAATTCACCTTACAGAATGAAGAGAAGGCCTTTTCTAGAGCCAGACATACCTGCTATCCAGTTCCAAGGCATAAGTGCACGCATACATGGGTGCACCTGCACACACACACACACACACACACACACACACACACACACACGCCAGTGCTTGTTCTAATTAGTGACACTAAGTGCACTACAGCAATACCCAAACAAAAACAAAGAACTAGGTCACATAGCTGGCAGTTACAATTTTAGAGATAGAATCTCCAGACATAAAACATGTGTAAGTAGAGGGTGGGGCCTGGAGGTAGAAAACAATTTGAGGACTGAGGCACTGCAGAAGAACTCCCTGGGATTGTAAATGTATTTCCGCTGGGGACTGTCTTTAAACACTTTGCTTGTTTCTCTAATCATTTGTTGGGGTTTGGGCCATCAGCCCTACCCAACACCTCAAACTGAGAACACCACTGCAGACCAGTCATGGTGGCTCATGGTTGTAATTTCAGCTACTTGGAAGGTGTAGAGAGGAAGGCAAAATATTATCTCACACTAACAACTATGAGATCCTATTTGAAAGATAATCTAAAAGTGCAAAGGACTTGCCTAGCAAAGCCCTAGTTCAAACTACAGTAATCAAGAAAAAAAAATCCACAATACAAGTCTAGTTATATAAGGCAAATGATGGGCTACTCAGCTATTTTTCAACAAGATAATAGACTTGTGTGTAGGCACAAACGCATGCGTGTTTTAACATTTCTCCGTTTCAGATGATTCTCCTATTCCCCATATGAGGGAGAAGATTCTCCTTTGTAAGATATTCCAGCTTTTAAAAATCTGTTCTCTCCTTCCGTATCTCAGACAACTTCCATAGGTGATAAAATAGAACTCTGAAGAACAGCCTGAGTCACATTGGCCACTTCTCTGGTAACCTCAGGGTATTAAACATTTACCTATCTTTAAAATGGAGCCAAAAAAAGGTACTGGTGGCTCACACCTGTAATCCTAGCAACTCCGGAGGCTGAGATTCAAGGATAACAACCCAGGAAGAAAAATCTGTGAGACTCTTATCTTCAATTAACCAACAAAAACCCAGCAATGGAGCTGTGGCTCAAGTGGCAGAGGTCTAGCCTTGGGCAAATAAGCTAATGGAGGGTACCCACACCCTCAGTTTAAGTCTCAGAATCAGCAATAAATAAATAAATTGGAACCAATACGAATTGTGGCAGGCTGGTATGAGGAGTCCATCAGAGGTCTATTTGAAGTATTGGTATTATTTTCCCCCAACTTATAAATAAAAGAATCTCGGGCGCACAAAAGCTCTTTCTCTTCCATAAATCCACTGTTGTCCTATTTAAGCAATTAAGGGTCTAATGAAGGCATCAGGACTGCCAAGAAAAACTCTAAAATAACTGTATTCAAATTTCCTGTCTCTATCTCAACTTCTCTGCCCAGCCAAGTCATAGTTTTGATCATATTCTATAACTCCAAAATGAATAAAGCCTACCGGGAAAAAATATGCAGAAAGAATAAATTTTAACACTCTAGGGGGGAAAAAAAGAAGAGTCTGAGAAAATATATGTTTTTGTTATTTAATTCTTAAATCCCAAGACACTACCATGACACAAGCCAAGTGTACTTTAAAGTCATAGAAAGAAAAGTGCCCTGATCTAGCTTCAGAACAGCACCCAGGACAGACTTACCTTCTTTTGGCAAGATGGCAGCTACAGGAGACTGGTCAATCAGCGTATAGTGGTCTTTATCCAGGTATTGGTCAAGCTCTATGACGCGATCCTCAGAACACTGGGTCATTCCGTGATCGCTCGTGATAATCAGGTTCACGACATTCCACAGCTTTGCCTTTTTCAGCATCTGGATGAGATACCCTAGCTTGTCGTCAATATCTGCAATCACAGGTCCCATGAGTGGACTGTCAGGGCCCAAGTGATGGCCCATGTCATCTGGGTCCTCCCAGTAGAGAAGCCCCAGGTTTATGGGCTTTTCTGCTGTGAACCATTCGATGATTTTGGCAACTCTATCTTCAAAGGAAACAGACTCATTGTAAGGCATGTAGTGGGTGGCAAAGCTCTTGTGTATTTTCACATCTGTCCCAGGCCACATGGCTGAACCAGTAGCATGCCCCGCCCTCTGATTTGTGATCCAGATTGGTGTCGCTTCTTCCCAAAACTCAGAATCATAAATATTCATGTGATCCAAGGAGAAAGATTTGTTCAGAATAGGGTCAAACATGTCATTGGCAACAATCCCATGACTCTCTGCGAAGAGGCCAGTGACCATTGTGTAATGGTTGGGGTAGGTCTTTGTAATAAAAATATTACTGACTTGCTTCACGTGAACACCAGACTTCATCATGTAATGAAAATGGGGCGTTGGAACTTTATATAAGTAATCCCAACGGAATCCATCGAAGGAAACGAGGAGAACCTTATGCTGATCTGGCTGGAGAGAAAATGTCGTTGAAAGAGTTAATGTGGCAAGTGCCAGGGACACAGCCAGAGGCTTTGAAGTCATTTTCAAGACACTCGATCAGTTCCAGCTTAAGATAATCTGTAGAACACACATAAAGATGATGATGGTAATTAGTAACTTTATTTTGTATTCTTTGCCTCAACCTGACAGTGATAATGCTTGTGATATCCAGCAACATCATAACTCACAACCTAGGAGAATTAGCAGAATGCTCTCATCAAACAAGAGACTTAAGCCTACAAGTGTAACAGAGGTAAGAAATTTTAGTTGCATTTTCAAAAACTGACTTTCCAAGAACCCACTAAAATATTCTTCAAAGGAATTATTTAAATGATCTCTCCAACAGCATTTCAAAACAGGATTTCAAAAACCATCTGCATACAACCTTGAAAGATACCTATAACCATATTTATCATTATGGCTGCAACAGCTATAGATATTTAACAAGGAAGTATCACTAGCAAATCCAATAATGGTATTTTCTAAGAAAAAATGAAAAACAGCACATACACACACTTCTGTTTTCAAAGACAATCCCTATAATTTAGCCTGTCATAGTCAAAGGCATTGTTTTGAACTGAACTTGGTTTCTTAAAGTGAAATAAACTGTGGTTGTCAAATACAAATGTGGGCTTTAATTTGTATTCCTGCATTAATAATGACCAAATCATAACTTTCTGTACACTGAACAATTAGCTTCAGGAATAGTTACAAATAGTAATGACAAATAACCTTCCTAATGTTACAATAAACCAAGTTAATCTTGTCAATCAATGATAAGGATTCAAGTTCTTTGGATCAAGGTTGTGAGGGATTTTAAAAATGTAAACGTATTTCTGAAAAGTTTTCATTCCACTCAAGAAAGCTAACATAAGGCAGTGTGAATGAATAATCATAGGTTTCTAACTGTGATTTCATTAAAATCAGATAGTACTTACACTAAAATTGTTTCAGGTATTGGTCTCAAGATAATGATTCATAGCTTAAAGCTATTTCAACATATATATATATATATATATATATATATATATGTATGTATGTATGTTGGTTTTTTTCCAATTCTGTAAGCAAAACAGTTGCAATACACCGAGCTCTGATGGGTCACACCTGTAACCCTGGCTACTGATGGAGGAGGCTGAGATCTGAGGATCGCGGTTTGAAGCCTGCCTGGGGAGAAAACGTCAGTGAAACCTTAGCGCCACCTGAAATGGAGCTGTGGCTCAAGTGGCGCAGCATGATCCACCCTGCAGGTACACACACACACACACGCGCGCAGGTGTACACACACATGCAGGTACACACACATGCAGGTACACACACACGCAGGTACACACACACACTCGCAGGTACACACACACGCAGGTACACACACACACGCAGGTACACACACACGCAGGTACACACACACGCAGGTACACACACACACGCAGGTACACACACGCAGGTACACACACACGCAGGTACACACACACGCAGGTACACACACACGCAGGTGTACACACACACACAGGCACACACACACAGGCACACACACGCAGGTACACACACACGCAGGTACACACACACGCAGGTACACACACACACAGGCACACACACACGCACACACGCAGGTACACACACACGCAGGTACACACACACACACGCAGGTACACACACACACGCAGGTGTACACACACACGCAGGTACACACACGCAGGTGTACACACACACGCAGGTACACACACGCAGGTACACACACACACGCAGGTACACACACACACGCAGGTACACACACACGCAGGTACACACACACGCAGGCACACACACACGCACACACACAGGTACACACACGTAGGTACACACACACACGCAGGTACACACACACGCAGGTACACACACACGCAGGTACACACACGCAGGTACACACACACGCAGGTACACACACACAGGTACACACACGCAGGTACACACACACGCAGGTGTACACACACACACAATTTTTTTTCAAGTTAAAAATTGGGACAATACGAATGTATTTATTCACGTGTGGCTGAGGGTGGCGAATAGGCTCTCGCGCTCTCTCTCTCTCTCTCTTCTTCCTCCCCCCCGATTCTTCCCATCCCAACTTCCTAACACAAAGAAAGCCATTAGCCACCAAACGTACTTCAGGGCTAGGGGAGGAGGGAAATCTCATTTTTCCTCCATTTTCCTCCATTCCCCCTAATGAATTCAGGAATTGAAGCCCCAAACAGCTGTTTTCCTGAGTCAGTGCGGCCTAAACGTCGCAGATGCTCGACCACACCAATAATCACATTACCGCACAGAAGACACCCCGCAATTAGATGCAGAGGTGGGGTGGGGAGAGTGGGGGGGAAGGGGTTTCTTTCTGTTCCACGCAGAGGCTGCGGGAAGCCCAGAAATCCCCAGACCTGGGTCCCGGTTCCCCAGGTTTGCCCGGGCTGCTGTCCCAGCCCCGCACCCCGAGGTCGGGCGGGGCGACCCAGGCCTAGGCGGGGAGGGGTCCTGGGAGGCAGCGCCCGACTCCTCCACCTGAACCCCCGGCCACCGTGGGGGGGGGCGCGGCCTAGGCAGCGTGGCCCCCACTTCCCAGGCCTCGGGCCCGCGGGAGCTCCGGGGCCGCTCAGGGCCGTGACCAGTGCGGGGATGGCTTTGGGGGGGGGCGCCGGGAAGCCGCACGGGGTCCCCCCCCCCGTTCCCGCCCCGCCTTGCCGCTTACCCTGACAGCGATCCCGCCAACCCGCACCTGCTGCGAGCACCGGGAAGCGCTCACGGCGGGAGCTGGGGGCGCCCCGAACCCGCGGCCGCTCACCTGCGCGCAGCTCCGCGCACGGCACCTGACCCGCGTCGCTCCCGCGCCCGGCGCCCGCGCTCCCATTGGCTGCGGCGGGAGGGTCGCCGAGGAGGGCGGGCCGAGCAGAAGGCCGGGAGGCTGGCAGTGGCTGCGCCGCCCGTCAATCAGCGGGAATGGGGGCGGGCGGGCGCCGGAGGGTTTGGAGCCCTGGGGGCCACCTGCAGGCCCAGCGCGGGCCGGGCCTCTCGCGAGCCCTCGGGTTAGTGGTTTACTTAGCAGTTTACGGTATTATTTTTTAACTCAATTGCATGATCTGTTTCAAAGAACTGGTTTTCTGCTTCTCAGAGATGTATTACGAAAACTGGGTTTCTTTTGCCTGTACTCTACACATTCATTCAAGCAGCAAGGTTTACCAAGCGTCTCTCCAATGCGAAGCAGTGAAAGCACTGAGCAACAGCCCCGAGGGCAGCAGGTGCCTCCTGCCTGTCACCCCAGCTGCATAGGAGGCTGACAGCTGAGGACCACAGTTCGAAGCCAGTGCTGGCAGGAAAGTCGGTGAGACTCTTATCTCCAACTAACCACCAAACAAACCAACACACAGAAGTGGAGCTGTGGCTCAAGTGGCCGAGTGCTAGCTTTGACCAAAAAAGCTCAGGGACAGGGATAGTGCCCAGGCCCTGAGTTCAACGCCCCCCCGCCCCAGCACAAATTGTATAACTCTTACCCAGAAGGGGTTTACATTCTTATAGTGGGAGGAAGAAGGATTTGGCAGAAATGACCTTCTCCATTTGGGGAACTGATACTGTTGTATAGATTCTTTGAGGCAGGGTCTCACTAGGAAGCTCAGGCTGACCTTGAACCTGCCTCACCGGGGCTGGGATTACGTGCATGTGTCAGGTTTTGTTAAAAGCTACTTTCATTGTTTGATAGGTCCCAAGTTCCCTTCCACCTTGTCAAGTTTTGATTTTTGCTCATAGTCTTTTCTCTGGAATACATGAACATCCAAGGATGTAGATGAGATTTTTGGATTGCTGTTTGTTTTTTCCTTGGTAAAGAAGTGATATTGTGGTGCTTTGCATCCGAAATGATGTATTAGTTGAATGAACTCTGTAGTCCAGCGTTCCAGGATTTTGCCACTTAAGCCTCAAGGGATCTGGGTAGTACACTGAGCAGTCACACCTGAAAATTCTCAAACTGAACCAATTGGGATTATGTTAATTTACCTCTGGAGAGAATTACTGAATCTATGCTGCTGATTCCTGTGGGCTTTGGGCATAGCTTCTAGCTTTGTTTCCAAATACACATTAAAGCTAAAATCTGATTTCTCTTTCCAGAAATCTTTCATAGCTGTGGTTATTAGTAATTCTGTTTCTTCTATTCCTAAACTCTAGTGAATTAATATTTTTCACTTTTTCTCAATTAATGATATTTTTAGGCTTGAAGAAGTCTGGACCAGTGTATAAGCTGCCAATTTGACCAACTACATTTATCGTAAAGTAGACAAACAGCATTGAGCTAGTCTGAAAGGCTTTGCCTATCTGCTGAATTCCCATTCCTGATTCACCCTGTAATGGACAGTGATATCTGCTTAGTTTTCTCTGATGTAAATTTCAACCTCTAATTAGCAAGTGAAAGCATATCAGTTCCAGTGGCATGGGCTCCTGCCTGGAATTCATATCCCCTGTCTGATGTCTTGGAGCTGTAAAATGCACAGACATCCCAGTGAGCGACATCTTGTAATGAAACGAGACAAAGATCTCAGTGAGAGACTTTTCTTTCTCAGCTCCAAACATTGCTACCTGCTTCTTGGGTCCTATCACCCCATGGGGCATTTGGGCACTTGGCCATGTCCTTCTGTTTGTAGTATCTTGACTTTATGGCTTTTAGCACGTAGGATGAGGATTGGAGGGGGGCTGATTTCTATGTTTAGCCAGATCTAAAGATGATGAAGTTGTACAGGTTGTTCCAAAGGCACCAAATTGTTCAAACTTGGAACAAGGTGATTCAACCTTATAAGTCTTTGTCTTCCCAAAATAGACTGATTTTATGTTCTCTCAAAGCAAAGAACAATGTATGCTTATCAGAAAGCAGGAGGAGTGAAAGCAAGTCAGTCTTGTACATGGGTCATTGAATATTGTAGGACTCTTCAGAGTGCAGTCTGCCTTCTCTGTACACATTGATAGAAGTCATGGTTGTAAGTACTACCAAAGGCTGTGAAATATGAATAATGTATTGTCAGAGAAGGCTTAATACACTCCTCCAAGATCTCTATGTGATCGCCTGATGGGTGTGAAGTATAACTCAGGTGGTAGGGGGAAATTTGGTTGGAATAATCCAGAGAGAGGCATGATTGGAAATGTCTATTGATGATCCATGGGACATGACCTCCAGGCAGGAGTCTATGTCACTGAAACTGATATGGTCTCGATAGCTAATTAGATATTGAAATTTACATGGGGACTTTCTTGCCTGGGCTGGCTTTGAACTATAATCTTCAGACTGAAGCCTCCTGAGTAGGTGGGATTATGGATGTGATCCATGAGTACCCAGCTATAAATTCTTTTTTTTTCTTCTTTTTGTCGGGCTTGAACTCTGGGCCTGAGCGCTGTCCCTCAGCTCTTCAGCTCAAGGTGAGCACTCTACACTTGAGCTACAGTGCCACTTCCGGTTTTCTGGTGGTTTATTGGAGATAAGAGTTTCACGGCCTTTCTTGCCCGGGCTGGCTTTGAACTGAGATCCTCAGATCTCAGCCTCCTGATTAGCTAGGATTAAGGTGTGAGCCACTGGCGCCTGGCTACACATTCTTTTAAGATTGTATTCTACCATACTGTACCACAAAAGACTAACATAAGAGAAAGCCCCTCTCTCAATTCTCCATAGAACCTTCTGGAAAATGTGAGTCTGCCATAGTCAATAGTTAAAGGTAAGATAGGCTGGGACCCTGGGCTTTGAACTGATCTGAATTTGTGGTGATTAGTGGGTTTTTACTAATTTGAACTCAGCTGAAGTTCAGCCCAATGGTTGAAAAGTTGAATTATAGAACATTCAAAGACTTATTCCAAGAATCATTCATATGTATCAGTAATTTAGGCTTCTAAGGGTATATTTGTACCTAGTAGAACCAATTTTGCGTGAGTAACATACTTTTATCCTCAGACAGCTTTATAAAAGTCAAGTTAAAACTTCATATGTATCTTTAGGTTGTTGTGTTCTATAAATCTTATTCATACCTTGTTAGTTTTCTGGAGTTGCCATAACAAATGTCTGCAGATTGGGAGGCTTACAAGTATAGAAGCTTACTGTTCCACAGTTCTGGAGGCTCGTCTGAGCGGAGGATGTTGGCAAGGCTGGAAGAATCCTTCCGCATCTCTTCCAGGTTCTGGGGGCTCCAAGTGTTTTTCCATCACATGACGGTCTCCTCTGAGTGTCTCTGTAGCTTCATGTGATCTTTTTCTAGAACCTTAGAATGAAGGTTGAAGGCCCACTTGAGACCAATATGACTTCATCAAAACTTATATGCAAAGAGTTCCAACTCAGGCCACATTCTGGGGATCCAGATACATGTGACTTTTGAAAAGACACTATTCCACCAAGGACACAGAGCTGGCAGAAAGTTTATATTCATGGCCCTGCCTAGATCAGAAGTTTATGAATTATTAAAATGGATCCAATCAAGAAACTGACAACTTCTAATGTTGACAAGGATCTAAAACTAACAAGAATCACCATATATGGCTAATGAGAATGACACAGAGACAATGGAGAAAGTGAAGGTTTCTTACTGTGAAATTCAGGAAGCCTACTCCTATGTATTTATTCAAGAGAAAGGGAGGCAGATGTCCCCTGGAAAAAACCTTATACACTAATTTTTATAGCAGTGTTATATACTCAGAACAAAGCTGGAAACAACCCAAATGTTCTTTGACTGGTGAATTGATAAACTGCAATAGATCCACAAATACAATACTACCCAGCAATGAGAAGGAATGAAGTACTCATCCATACAACATGAATTAATCACCAAAGCCTTTCATTAAGAAGTTAGGCAACACAGTTTAAAAGCAGCAAGACAAATAGTTACATACACAGGAGAGGAGACATCCATTTATGGAGGTTCCAGAAAGGGCAAGATGATGGGAAAAGAAATCATGTTAGTAATTGTCAGAGCTCAGGATTAAGCCAGAGGATTGGCAATGAAGGGACCCTAGAAACTCTGTGTGATGGACTTTTATTTGAGAGATGGGTACAAGGCTGTCTGACGTGGTGAACCTTATTAGAGTATATGCTTGAAAATGTTTTACTATATGAAATTTATATCCCAATAAGCAAATTATATCTCAAAAAGCAACAATTACAGAAAACAAGCCATAGCTTTACCATCCTCCCTGACAATCAAATTAGACCTGAGGATATTTGACTTGCAATGTTATTTTTCTGTGTGTAAGAGACAGAATATAGTCCAGACCATAGGATATAAGACCTTGCAAATGTGGGAACTCTGAAGCCAGTTGTCTGTCGGGTTTTAGCTTCTCATGAAGTCTGGAAATTACACTACAAAACTCCCAATTATTTTCTAAACTAAATTGGAATACCATTTGTTGGACCATCAGTCTAGGATATATTAACAGAGAGAGAAGAGATAGTTGCCCAATAGTATGTGATAGGAGGTTATTGTGGAAGACATTGTCTCAGAAGTAGCCAAACACAGGCTTGGTGCTGGTGGCTCACGCCTGTAATCCTAGCTATTCAGGAGGCTGAGGACTGAGGATCAATAGCTTGAAGCCAGCCTGTCATGAGACTCTTATTTCCAATTAACCACCAAAAAGCCAGAAGTGGATCTGTGGCTGAAGTGGTAGATCACTAACCTTGACACAAGAGCTTAGGGGACAGAGCTCAGGCCATGAGTTCAAGTCCCAGGACCAGTGTGTGTGTGTGTGTGTGTGTGTGTGTGTGTGTGTGTGTGTGTGTGTGTGTGTAATACCAAACCACACATATTTGTAGACTGAAGGG